GTGGATTGCTGTTTACTCCATCATCCCTAATGACACACTGCTGGTGCAGAGGGTGCCCCAGCTCCTCGTGCAGGTGACAGGCACTGCTGAGTTGCAGCCAAAACGTGGAGTCTGGGGCTGGCTAAAAGGCCTGGAGCACAGGGTGAGTCACAGCTCTGCACTGCTTCTCCCTTTCAGCAGGCCACGCACAGCAATACTGAGGCTGGGAAATAGCCTGCAAGTCAGCCTTTCCTCTGCTCCTGCCCTGCTTTTAGCCCCTCACCCCCTGCAGCAGTGCAAGGGGCAAAACAGCTTGCCAAAGGATCGAAGCCACCAAAGGTGATGCCTGTGTAGTCATGCTGCTGATGCCAAGGTTCCCAAATGGAGCAGGTAGGAGGGCTCAGCTGATCACATGCGAGCATACATATTGTCTAGGCTTTAGCGCGCGCCTTAGTACTGGCCGTGTTCTTGCCCAGGGAAGGTCTTCCCTTCCTGCTGACTGTGGCACTTATACACAGCATCTCTTCTCCTTTTCTTCCCCATGGTAGCAGTGGAGAGCCTGTAGCTAGGACTGACCATTGTGGTGAATGCCTGACAGGATCCAGTGAGTGCCTCCTGAGTCACACCAATCCTCACAGTGGTGGTTCTGTCTGTCATTTCATTGTCCTGTGATGGATGTTGCTCTCTGGGCAGAGCTGTTGAGTTGATGGGCTACATGGTCAGCCACCCAATCATACTTTCAGTTGTACTGGCCACCAGGCAGGGATCTGAATGCTGCACCCATGTATACACATGGTGAACCATCAGAAAGGGCACTCTTTACATTTGCACGTGTTCGGTCTCTCAGTGGTTAACTCTGGTCTTCCTGGAGAATGCAAACCCTGTTGAAGAGCTGACTTTATGAACTCAAAGGAAGTGCTGATGGACAGAACAGCACACAGGACTGATGGGTAAAGGGATGGTGGTCTCCCAGTTTGCTTGCAGCCTGCTATGTGCTGTGGGGTAAACCACATATCTTCTACCTTGCTCTTTCCCATATACTTAATAAATCACGTGGAGTGAGGAGAAATTATGCCTAGATACATGGGCAGTAATAAGGGAAGGACTTAGTTTGATAACATCCTTTACAAGGGTGCAGATAAAATGCTTGCACAGGTTTATGTAGCAGCAAGTGAAGGCAGAAGCCATGAAAATACTCCACAAATGAAAAAAGCTCCAAACCCCTTGGAGGCTAAGAAATCACTTAGCATGGAGCACTGAGCTGTAATTAGGAAAGGGAAACCACTGGCTGAGCGTTATGAAGCTCTTCCTGCCAGTGAGATGTGTTGAGCCATTCAGAAGTTGCCCAGGGGAGAGTAGTAGAAATGTTATACTAGGCAGAAGAACGAAGCTTTAAAAACTGCCCCACAGGTAGCAGTGCAGCATGAAGGGGCAGATCTGTCCACCTTGTCATCTTCATCTTCTGAGACATCCCATCAAAATGGACAGGAATTAGCTGTTTGGGTTTTGGGGTGTTGTTTGCCTTTCTTTTTTAATTTGCTAGTTAATGCTGACCCAAGAAGTTGGCTAAGAAATGGTTGAATTTGGTGTTGTCCAATAGCTCTGACTTCCCATGGTGTTTACTGGAAGAGGCATCAGCTGCTTTCAGCCTTGGGGTCAGTGTTCTGACCTCTGATAGTTTACAGGAGAGCCTGGTTGTTTAAGAACATCTGACCTAATTCAGCCCTCACATACATGGCAAATCTGAAACCAAGTTTGGCTCAAGGTGTTTTTATTTACTGCCTTTCCTCCGGACTACCTTATCTGTGTAGGCCAGTTAAATGTATTCCCTTCTTACGGCATTTGTGCTCGCGTGTGAGCCTCGTGGTTCTTGCCACATAGGATTTTCATTTTTCTTGTAGCTTAAATGTAAATGCAGTTAAGTAAGCAGTGCTCCAATTAGCTATCTGTTCTTTTGAGAGTACTTCTTGAGGATCTGTCATGCTGTGCAACGAAATCTCAGTAGATATAAAAATTTCTTACGCACACTGATGTATGCACTTGTGCTGGTCTCAAAAAATGCTGGCAGATTTTTGAAAATGCTGCTTTTTGTTATTTTGAGTATGTGTGACAGTGCCAAGTGCCTCAGTCCTAGACTAAGAATTATTTTCTTCCAGTTTCAAATATGCTTTCTAACAAAAACATGTTGATTTTGAAAATAGGTCTTGACAGACAAAACCAATGCAGATCCATCCCCATGATGATACTGCATGAAACTGGATGTGAGGCCTACAGAAAGCAGCTAAAGTAAGTAGTATTGTTATATCCACCTTTAGTTATGTACAGACACGTACATAAAGTGGCTATGAACCTGTGTATTCTTCTACAGCACATCACCGTAAGGAAAAGCATTTTCAAGCCCAGAAAAATGTACATTTGAGCTGTATTTTCCCCTCTGTAAGTTGAAAAGGGTATGTTGTTCATAGAAAACCCTCTGTCATGAGTGATAGCTAAACTGGTAGGCAAAGCTCAATCCATACCCTTGAAATAATCACTGCTGCTCTGTCCAAAATGGAGAGATGAATGCCTGTGACAGTGAAAGAGGATTAAAAGCATAACATGGACTTCAGTTGAGCCTATGTGCTTTGTAAATAAAAGTTTTCTTTCAAGATGGTCATTAAACCATTGCAAGATAATAAAAGCAAGCAAGTCTTTTGCACAAGACATATTTCCTCATGTTCTTGATATGCTTTGTAAAGAGAAAGATCCTGAAATGTCAAAGCATTCTGGGGGCTCCTTGCCTCCACTGGTGTGATGCCAAGTGGCATAAAGCTATCCTTGGCTTGACTTGGGTGTGCCAGTTCACCCCAGCTGCAATTGAGGCCACTAGCTGGAGTGCACCCATCACGCTCTGTTGCCCAACAAAGTGCTAACTCTTGGCACTGTGCAGACACATTCCTCCATTCTCAGATCTGTGGGATGCAATGAACATACCTCACAATGAACCCATGGGTGCAAGAAGGCACTACTTACTGTGAAAAGTCTCTTGGAAAACTGGCTCTGAAGGTGTGTACCAACCGTATCCAAAGAGGTGGCCTCCACATGAAGGAGAGGATGGTGAAAGCCACAAGCAGGGATGCCAAATGCAGAACCACATACCATGAGGTAAAGAACATTGCAGAAAGATAAAGATGTGTCTATGATGCTTGTTTTTCATATATTCAAATCTGAAAGAGGAAATTCCAATGAATTGCTCCAGTTGTGTCAGCGTTACTTGGTATCTGGATACCGGTACAAGACTATAATTAAGTGCTCTCTTTCAGAAGATAAATCATGCAGCAATTTAAGGGTGAAATTAATTATAAAGTGGAAGTTCTACAGTGATGCTGCTTTTTAAGACATCTGCATGCCCACACACAGAAATGCTTTACTAATCATTGCAATTCCTTTCTTTACTCATTCTGATCCCTGAAAGGGCAGACAATAAAATCCTTAATGAGGGGGATCAGCCCAAATCAAGGAAGCAACAAACCCAGTCATGTGGCATCAGAAAAAGCTGCCATCTCCAGCCTTAAAGCAGTATGGTGATTGTGTGGGTAAGCCATGAGCCTAATGCTAGAGGGGGAAAAATGGGGACTTAGATTCCAACTGTGTCATGTCCCACTTTATTGTGGGGGATGAACTTCTATATCCTACTTTCACACTGATCTTGATTATATCTTGCCAACTCTTATACTGTTTAGCTAATGTGTAAGTGGTGCTGAATTACAGTTCTCTAGTGACATGTTGCGTTGTTTCATTTCAGCATCTCCACACTTATGTAGACCTAAGAAAACACTCCCAAAGTAAGGAGTATGATTTGTAAGTGCCAGATATATTCCATCTCCCTGAATTAACCTGTTTATTACTTGTAATTACATTCTGAACATGGAGTTGTAGTATATCATGTTCTGCAGTATCTTCTACAATTAACTCATATCTTATATGAATAACTACCTATAAAATGGAGAAACTATGGGTGCTTGACTAGCCAGCTATTAAACTTCACCTTGCTATCAATTCCTTGCAATTCCTTGCTGTGAGACAGGCTTATCAATTCTGCAGTAAATTGGGTGTCACCTTGCCTTTTTGACGATGGAAAGTGGTAAGGCACAGAAAGGTTGTCCTTTAAAAGGAAAAGAAATAACCACCATTGAGCGGGTTGGTTACACAAAACACACTTGATATTTCAGGCAGAGGCATACAGTAGGGATTTGGGGGTGGAGTATCCCTCAGATATCCAGTGGTGGGAGGCAAGTGCTGAACAAGGCCTTGCCTAACATAGTGACAGTGTGTGGGCTTCAACAAGATACTTGAAAGAAGTTGTTTAAAAAAAATAGCCATAATCAGTCAACTGCTGTCAAGGTAACTAAAGATCTGTTGCTACCCATGCTGTGACGAGGCCAAGGGCTTGAGGGGCAATGTAGCTTAAGCACCCACTGACCTTAGGACCATCACAGATGGTCCAGGTGTTGACATCCCTGTCAACTGCTGTGACCCTGGCAGCAGCTCATATCTGGCGAGGGTCACTTCAGATGTCAGGGGATGTGAGATGGGGGAGGGCAGCAAGTTGCTAGCTGCTCACCCTGAGGTGTTTCCCAACCTTGGGTTTATGGTGGCCAGTGTGGCAGTGCAGTGGCCCACCCAGGCAGTGGTTGGCTCCAGGTACACACTGCACTGGCAAACTCTCACACCGTTATGCATCGCCCTGATGCCGGAGAGGGACTCTTCATCGGAGACTGTAGCGATACGACAAGGGGTGATGGGTTTAAGCTGAATCAGGGGAAGTTCAGGTTAGATATAGGGAAGAAGTTCTTTACTGTGAGGGCAGTGAGGCACTGGCACAGGTTGCCTAAAAGAAGTTGTGAATGCACCATCACTGGCAGTGTTCAGAGCCAGTTTGGAAAGAGCCTTGGACGACCTAGTCTAGTGTGAGGCATCCCTGCCCCATGGCAGGGGGGTGGAACGGGATGATCTTAAGGTCCTTTCCCACACAAATCATTCTATGATTCTGTGATGACCTGAAGGCAAGTAGTGCTGAGGCTGTGCATCCAGCTGGGGACATCTGCTGCCCCAGGAGATCCCAGGCATCGGCGCCTTGGCCAGATGGCTCAGAGGGGATGGGTAAATTTACAACTCCATGTATAATTTGCTGTAATACTTGCTAAAATAAGGAAAACAAATGTGCATGGCCAGCAAGCGAGGGCCAGAGGGATCAGGCAGCTGTGTGCCTACCCTGCCCTCCCCACTGGGTGCACCTCCCGACCGCCGGGGGTGGAACGGCCCGGTTCGGCTCTGCCCGGCCGGGGGCGGCTGGTCAGGATGCGAGGAGGCCGGGGAGCTGCCCGCGGCCGAGCCGGGGTTTCATCACCGGAGTCGAGCCCCGCCTCTCCCGCGGCCCATAAAGGTCCGGCGGGGCGAGGCCGACACCCATACGGCTCTAGCCGCTCCACTGCAACCGGCTGCCGCCTCTTCCTCTCTTGCTTCCTCCTTCTCTTCTCTCCCCGGGACGAGAGGGCGATGGACGCCAGATGCCTGCGGGTCAGCAGCCTGCTACTCTTCCTCGGTGAGTGCCGCCCGGCGTTGTGGGACTCTGCTCTGAAGGGCAGGGACTGGGAGGGTATCAGGCGCTGAGTCTTGGGGCTGGGGTGCTCCAGCTGCTGGAAAACGGCTGGCAAAGCATAAAGCCCGGTTTGCCTTCAGGTGAAGGCGACGTATTTTTTCTTCGAGATGAAGTCATGGGCAGGGATGGGTATACCTGTGTGGTTGTGTTCGATAGAGAGCAGAGAACACAGGTGTTACTTCGTGGTGTGCTGTTTATGGGACGTTTTTTTGCTTGTGTGATGCCCAAGTGATGGAGTGAAGGTGAATGTTCACTCCCCTTTTCCCCAGCTCTACTCGCAGTGCAGTGTGCTCAAGACAGTGCTGTCTGTTCTCTTTCACCTTGTCCTGTCCTGTTCGTAGTCTGGTCCTATTGCCTTCACCCCTGCCACACTCTGTGTGAGCTCAGCCGGTGAATCCCCATGGCAGGAGAGACTTCCTTCTGGTAACAAAACAGGTTGTGGCATCCCTCTGCTTGACACTTCTCCACCTCCTCACTGTCAGCGTGTCACTCTATTGCATGACATAACCTACCTGAAAGTCCAAAGTGAACATGTGTATCCTCAGAGCATCAAGAATCCTGGAGCCTGGGTGTCATATGAAGCAAGAGCTGATCTTTGCCCCACAATGTGGCTGGGCACTGGCAGGGAGTGCTGAGAGCTTACCCCATGAGGTGACTTGAGCTGTGTGGCAGCAAACGTTTGAGGCGGGACCCAGACCTGGCATACTCATATGCTGCTTCAATGACAAAGCATCTTTTGACACTCATGATGCCGGGCTCAGGGTCACAGACGATGGGAATCCTCAGTTCCTAGGACTTCTTTTTGGGGGCAGATGTTCCTTTGGCAGCATGAGTTTGTGTCTTCCATCTTGGCCAAGTACTTCCATAATAGCTTTTGGATCAGTTGCTGCACAGCATCTCACTTGCCAGGTCAGCGGGCTGAACACCTTTACATGGTGTCTTGGAACGAGCTAGTATGTCTTCATGAGCCTGTATATGGATTTATTAATTTCTGGGGCAGGCGCAAAATCCAGTAGTAAGGGCATAGTCATAGCTAAATGGCATCATAACGAGTGGTATGAGCTTTTTACTGCCTTCCCCTCCCAGGTCAGTAGTATAAGCAGAACTTGGTGCCACTGTCAGAAGTTGGGAAGACTGTAGCTGGTGTTAGATCAGACTTTAAAGATGAAGCTGAATGGCTGAAACCTGACTGAAGTGACGGTCATTGTCAGCTTGGTATCCCGGCTGTTGTGGGCTTGGCATGGTAGAACAGAGCTGTCATTCACCCCTGAGGAGCCACACAGTGATGTGGTGGTGATGGAGCCAAGCCCAGGCCCTGCCTTTTCCGTGAGTTACTGCAGCAGCCTTGGCACTGGTCTCCTTGCAGTCACTGTAATGCCCACTCAGTGGCCATCCTCAGATCTCCAGAATCACTGGACAGCTTCAGCAGCTGCTGACCTTCTGTTTTCCCATGTCACATTTGTCTGGTCATCAGCAAGTGGGCTAAATATTAAGGCTGCTGAGTGGATGTGGAAAATGATGTGGAAAATGTCAGTGGCTGATGTGTCTGGCTGGAAGCAATAATGGCATACTGCTGCTTCTGTGGCATGGGGACCTCTATCCCCATGTATGGTGGAAAGCAGAGTGGCATGGGATAGTATGTGAGTAAGGTCAGTGGTGTGCAAGTCTCCACAAAGGTGGAAGCAGTACTGAGATGACTGGGTGCACATAATATGTAATTATCTGCATTATCTCTGCTTACGGTAAGTCCTGACACCGTGTTGAAGATGATCATGTGGGCCTGTAGCAATTTTAGAGTGATAGTCTTCCGGTAAGAGGCTGGTGTTTCCAGGGCTGTCTCAGAGCTGCTATGGTCTGGCCCTGGTCATCCATGACTTGAGTTTTCACTTCTGAAGACATGGATACAAAATGTGAGATGGGGAAATCTGAATACCACTTCCACATATAAACATGTGTAGCCGTTCCTGTCCGCTTGTCCTAAGGGTAGTTGATTTGAGCCTGCCTCTCTCAGAACCATCACGCTGGCCCTGCATTTAGACAACAGGCAAACTATCCATAGACTGCAGGGGCACGAGGAGTGGAAAGAGCTGACAGCATCTCCTTTCACATGGTGAGAAGAGCAACCTGTACATCTTGTACGTCTTGTCTAAGGAAGAGGAGTGTTGGGCATGGTGCCTTGATGGGCCTGGTCAGGCAATTAGACACCATGTACATCATACCCAAACATCAAGCAGCAAACAAACAGCTTGCCCAGAGTGCAAAGATGGGAAAGCGTGCTTTGTCTAAGGTGCTTAGCTTGAATGACCACTTCCCCTTTCCCAGGAAAATAAAATGCTCAGCCTGTGTGGATAACCTGTACTTTAGAGATGCTGTGTTTGATGTGAGCGGTGTGGTTGCACAGCCAAATCTTGAATAAGAGCAGGCTGTTTGCAAGGCTTTCCTGGCTAAGTCTAAGTTTCTATGATCTTCATCTAAAACACACCACCCACCTAGCCTTTGTTGCCAGAAGTGCTTGCTTTGTCTGAGGTGGCCTGTGAACTGCTGTGGCTAGCTAGGGAGGTTACCAGCAGAGAGATATGGAAGGCAGTGATCTGGAGTTGAGTGGTATTAATAGCAGTGCTCACAAAGCCAATACGACAGAACACTGGAACAGGCTGCCCAGGGGGGTTGTGGAGTCTCCTTCTCTGGAGACATTCAAAACCCGCCTGGACACGTTCCTGTGTAACCTTATGTAGGTGTTCCTGCTCCGGCAGGGGGATTGGACTAGATGATCTTTTGAGGTCCCTTCCAATCTCTAACCTACTGTGATACTGTGACTGGCTAACTTCCATGATTCCTGCCTAGTCTACACCAAGAAGGCCTTAGACAGATGTGCTCTGGGTGTCCAAAATCAGGTAAGGGGTACTCACCTTTACCTGTCTCCAGAGTTAAAATGGGCTGAGATCATGTAGGTGTGTGTCACCTGGACACCTCTGTGTTTGGCATTGCAACCCATGTGAAAAGTGTAGGTGCTACTGCTGTGGCAGAGAGATCACAGGGATGTCAGATGTGAAGCAGCATTGCAGGGTCTTCTTCAGATTAACTAGTGATCTCAATGACAGGTAAAGCCAACTGAAATGGTGATTGACCTCCCAGAAGCCTGAGACTATTACTGTTCCAGTAACAGCCACTGCTGTTGATGTCAACCTGACAGGAACAACCCCAGGACCAGATAGTGTTGCATATGCATGCTACTGGAGCATCAGCATAGCATTCGCATTCCTGCAAGGCACATGTGAATATCCACCATGTCATTACTGCTATCTTCTATGCTGTGTTTGCTTAGTGATCAGCAAAGGTGTAAGAACATAATGACCTCTCCCAGGTGCTATGATTGGTATCCATCATCCAGTAATCCTGGGAAAGGCTCTCCTTTGCCATTCCTGTGTGTGGATCCCTTATTCTCCTTCAGGATACCCCTCCCATTGATGTCAGAGGGGAAATATGTGCACGGGGAAAAGGGCAAAATATAACAGTGCAGAGCAGGAGGAACTTTGCCCCAGTGTGACAAATACTGCTGGGTGTCAACACATACCTACGCCTGCTCCAGCCCTTCTGGCTATGTGGCTGCAGCCAGGCAGAGCAGGCTGTCAGTTGTGGCTGGAATGGGGCAAGCCATGTGTGGTTCAGTGTTGGAGGAGGAGGTTATTTTCAATATGCCTCATAGGTGTTGAGTTTTTGCCTCTTTTTCTATCTGGAAAGCGGTGTCTCCTCCTGGAGCCAGGAGAACAGCTGACCCATCTCTTTCACGTGCCTAGGTCTGAGATTCTTGAATGCAAAAACCGGGTTCTGGAAATTCTCAAACTAAGAGCTTGAGATTAAAAAGCAATTGCTCAGGTTATGCTCAGATCAAGGAAGTATGTAAACTGGAATAAAAATATGTAGGCTAATACAGATTGTCAGGTGGCTTAATCCATCTACTTAACCAAGTACAACACAAGTGAGTATCCCAGGTACCTCTAGCATCTTTTTGCCTTGATTTATGCTCATTACTGTCATGTGGCCCCCAGACTAAATCTTGGTGCAGCCAAGAGATGATAGCAGCTGTACATGGGGAGCAGGAGGAAGCCTCAGTCACTAACTCTGGCTACTCTCAGGATTTCAGCATCCCTTTTTGCAACCACATGTTGTAACCTTAGTGAGACAGAGCTGACCTGTGCCACAGCTGCTCTCTGCCGAGTGAGCAGCTTAGTCCATGGAGCACTTCTGAAATGTCTCTCTGGTACCTGGGAAGGAGGACTAACTCATCAGATCTCTGGGAGAGATTTAGCATCATTTGGGACATGGAAGCCCAAGGAAGCTCATGGAAGCTCAAGGAAGCTCATGGAAGCCCAAGGAAGCTCATGGAAGCTCAAGGAAGCTCAAAGCTCCTGTTCTGGCAGTAACTGACCTGCCCCCATATATCAGCTGATGGTTTCAGCCTTCAAACACTTCACGTTTCTGTCATAGCCTTGCAGAAGTGTTCAGTTACTTCTCCTCATGAAATCTATAGTGAGTACAGTGGTGTTAATAATAAAAAATTCCCACTGTGAAAGTAAACTTGCTCCTCCTGCCTGTGGAGTGAAAGGCAGGTGTGGCTGACTCATGCTAGCAGGCACAGATGGCTCCAGCTTACTCCTGTACAAGTCAGGGTGCTGGCATCATTGCTGTGTTACCGTGGCTCTCCCTTTGGTGGCCCTAGTCTTTGTTCTTTCTGTTAAAGCTTGGTTTATTAGCTTTGCAAGGAATGCAGTGCAGAGGGAGGTAAAGTAATGGAGCAGTGTTTTTAAAGCTACACAAACACACAACCCTCCTTGTCCCTCCAGGATGGATATTCCTGCTGTTCTTGTATTTAGAATCATAGATCATAGAATGGTTTGGATTGGCAGAGACCTTAAAGATCATCCAGTTCCACCCACCCTGCCTTGGGCAGGGACACCTTCCACTAGACCTATTTTAACTAGAATAAAGTTTGAAGGAAACCTGCTAATCATTCAGAAACAGAGGAGCTGCAGGAAATCCATAAATCACTCCTAGATTTAACTCTGAGATGTAATGAAACTTTCTAATAACTGGACTTGCATTAGAGTGATCAAGAAATTATGAAGGCACACTCCCTCCATTAGACATACATGACCTGACAAGTTAATGGAGGCAAACAGCCCAAAGACACAAATTACCAACTGGTGTGGCATGGTGCTGATGACTAAGCAGTTCACTAGCAGGTTAGTTTGTGACCACAATAGCAAGTGTTAGCCAACTGCATTTCATGGCCAGCTGGGACAAACACTGGCTGCTCCTCTGGGGCCAGCCATGAGGCTATGAGCACTTGTGTTGGCCTTCAGATCCTATTCGGTAATGCTGAGAATAACTAGGAGAATACCTGAAAGCTCTGCCTGTGCAGCACTCTACAGCCTCAAAGATGTCCAGATGCTTTAGAAGCTGAATCTCTGGGAGAAGGGAAGGAGGGTCCTTGCTCCCTGAGGAAATGCAGCCACAGCTCTAGTAGCCGAGCTCCTCAGCCTCTCATAATGTCTGGTAGCCACATCAAACCTGCTGAGCTGGAGTTTGCTTCAGTGTGGATGGTGAAGGGAAGACAGAAATATACCCTTTTTCTCCTGGGGTTCTGCTGAGATGAGGAACACAGGCCCAGGATCCCTGAAGTGGCCAGTAACTGCAGATGAAGAGGGTCTGTGCGGGAGCAAGTGTCAGTGCAGGAACTGTCCAACCTTTCAGGCTGCTACACCACCTCAGCAGCTGAGGAATCTCTTTGATGCTAAAGAGCAGCTTTGGTGTTAAGCCTTCCTTGAGCCGGATGTGCTCTCTGAAGTCGGGGGTCACTGAGCCTGGCTCAGCCCTGACCTGCTGCACTGCATCATCAGCTGCACGGGCTTGCTGAGTCCTAGGAAATACTCTGTCCCTGCACTGCTGTGACTCAGGGACGTCATGATTTGGATCACCGAAAGAGCTCCTCCTGCCATGAATGCTGGGTTGTCATGCCTAATTGCAGAAATCTGGCAGGGTCCCTTGTGCAGGTGTCATGCCAGACCAGTCAGAAACTGAACATAATCAGTACTGGCCTAATTTCTCCCTCTCCTATATAATCTCTCCACGCCTGTTCCTGCCCAGTTTCACTCCGACTGTGGGTGAGAGGTGGTCACAGGCACTACATTTCTGTTTGATTTCTGTTCTACATTAAAGTTTGTATTTCAGAGATGTTTCTTTGGGCTGCCTTATATGATACAGGCAGCAGATCTCTCAGACCTGTATTTTTTCATCTTACGACACTAGGGTTTTCCTAACATAAAAGTTTCTGTTGTTCTTGTATTAACTTGATGAATACACCACCTGAAATACTTAACTACATTTGAAAAGCACCTAGTTTTGACTTTTATTTTAATTCTCTTGTAGGCTACCTATTGCAAGCAGTCCTGGGCACAACAGTGATCCCATTATGCGGGCCTGGTGAGATGGAGAACTGCACAACAGCACTAAGTAAGAGTACTGCACAGCTCTCTCTGTAGTGAACAAGTCTTGGGTTCCCATCTTCTTTTCTTGCTGACCTCACTGAGGTGCTCTTGGAAATAATTTTTTTGTTGAACAACATGGCCAGCATCCTGCAGAGTGTTCAGTGTTGTTGAACAAGAGCCAGGTTTTAGCCTACATTTCCTTTAATATTGCTTCTTTAGCTGAAGAGTTCTTCCTGAAGTGTGAACTCTGCTGTGAAAGCAGAAATAGCTTATGTGGAACTCCCAAAAGTCAATATAACTCTGGCCCAGGAAAATCCTCTCCCTGTTCAGAAGGGTCACCTCCTGCTGCTTTGTAGGTCTCCTGGTAGTGACACTATTAGTTGTACTTGTAACACTTATACATCGTTTGGGAAATACAAAGCAGAAATAAGGCTGATGAGATGCTAACAAAATCTCCTTGCAGTCCAGACAGAGAACAGTCCACGTGTGGCTCAAGTTGGGATAACTAGATGCAAGCCTGAAATGAAGGACTACTGCTTCCATGGGCAGTGTGTGTACATAGTGGATTTGGATGAACACTACTGCAGGTATGGAGAGGGCATGATGCATTCTTCAGACCTCCCTGAGGTGGGCTTGGAGGTGAACTGCATGGGGCTTTTCATCTCATTGCTCTTGGCAGTTAGTTCGAACACCCATCCAGCAAAGTATTCATATGCTTACAAGGCATTAAAGAGGAGCAATATATCTATAAAACAACTCAGCTACATTTAAGCAAGTGTTAAGCATATGTGCTGGCTCCAGTGAAACCTAGATGAGAGTCTTAGGCAACTGAAATTAATCAGCAACCAAACTTAAACTTGGGACACTCATTCTGATGTGCTTCCCTGCCATCTATATTTATAGTAGTGTGAGATCCAGAACTCAGGCAAAGCAATCAGGTTTCTCCTTGGATTCAGCCTGCAAAATAAAGACCCTCCAGGTATTTTAAAGGGAATTCCTCATTTATTTGAGGAGTTTGCAGCCATTTCTAGGACCATGTCAGCTTGCAGTACATCAGTTCTAATTGCTTGTCCCTGAGGAAACAGCATGCTAGCAGTACAGTATGCTTTGTGGACTGCTAAAGTGTAACCCTATGGCTGTGTCTCTAATTGTGCATCTCTTATCCTCAGGTGTGATGTAGGCTTCTCTGGTGTCCGATGCGTGCATTCAGAATTGGTCAGACAGCCCCTCAGTAAGGAGTATGTGGCACTGACGGTTATTGTAGTTCTGCTTTTCCTCATCGCCATCTCCATTGCAAGCTACTACATCTGCAGAAGGTAAGCAAGACATCCTTCGTGTCTCAGGAAGGCTAATCCCCTGTATTTGCAGCAAGATGTCCCCTGAGTACCTCCAGATAGAGCAGGGTACCTATGTTCACTTGACTGAATGGAGCTGGTTTGACAGACAGACGTGCTAGCCTGCGCTTAGTAAAGTATGCTGAATGCATAGCATAACCCAAACTGCAGGCTAGGCAGCGGTATCTTCAGATGCCTTCTAACCCTGATAGACAACTGTATAGGTTAGTTCACATCTGTCTTGAAAGGTGTGTTGAGGTAAAGGAGAGAGCAGACAGGGAGCAGGGAAATTCTAGTTCCTTTTTTTTCATAATGCTATTTCCCCTGTCATCCGGAACTGGAGGACAACTGGATCAGTGATTTTTATCAGTTGTGTTATTGTGGTGACTGTGATATCACAAGCAATGCCTTATCTGCTTTACCAGGGAGGACAGTAGTCTTCCCCATTAACAGACCCACAAGCAGCAGGGGTCATTCTTCAGACTGAAAACTAACAGTAAGTAGATGTTGGAGAGATCTGAGAAGGTGGAACAGCCCCCAGAGGGAGAGCTCAGCTTCACACATGACACCTAGGTGGTGACTACTGTAATTCCTCTTCCCTGCATGAAAACTCGATTGCACATCATTTCAAACACAAGGTGGCCAAGTTGGTTAGGATACTCAGCCCTATTGCAGACAAGGATCCAGCAGGATTTCTCTAAGACAAAGCTAGTATCAATAGGAAGACTTTAATGCAGATGGGACAACCTTAGTGAAGACATGAGACATGAGACTGCCTGAAAGCTATCTCAGACATGGAAGTGATCACAGACAGACCTTAGCTACTAGAGGTTTAAAACAAATGTGAGGAGGTCATCCAGCATCTCCTTTTTCTTCCTTGCACCCCCCTTCATCCCACGAAAAGCTCTTTGGAACAACTGGCTTTCCAGAACTCACACTTCTCTACTTCCAGGTACCGAAACAAGAAGAGACAAATGAACACCAGTGAATACAAGGAAGTTGGTACCCTGTAGAAGATATGATGGCTTCCTACAGTGTTCTGTTCATCTGGATGGACTCACTGACTTCTCATCTATTTAAATGTTATTTTTATTAACAATATTTACAATATTTATACCTTTGTAAAAAATTCAGTTGCTTGGTGATCCAATCAGTATAGGTCAAGCATTTTATTTTCAGTGTTTTATTTTTTTATTAAATATTATTTCCTCATGAGAACCCCACCTTGGTGGTTCTGTGGGATAGAGATATATTTTTATAAAAACTCATCTTCTTACTCTGAAGAGTAATTTTATATTTATTCTTGTGAATATGCTCAAAACAATTCTGCTCCTTGAAATAAAAGTTGTAGACCAAGTCAAAGTGTCTGCTGAGTCCAAAGACTGGTGATGGATGGAGTTCAGCCGACGTGGCAGATGGTCACAAGTGGTGTTCCCCAGGGCTCACTCCTAGGCCCAGTTCTGTTTAATGTCTCTATCAATGATCAGGATGAGGGGATCAAGTGTACCCTCAGTCAGTTTACAGAGGACACCAAGTTGGGTGGGAGCATTGATTTGCTGGAGGGCAGGAGGCTCCACAGGGAGATCTGGACAGGCTGGATTCGTGGGCTGTGGCCAACGGTATGAGGTTCAACAAGGCAAAGTGTCAGGTCCTGCACTTGGGTCACCACAACCCCATGCAATGCTCCAGGCTTGGGGAAGCGTGGCTGGAAAGCTGCTCATGGAAAAGGACCTGGGGGTGCTGACTGACGGTGCTGAAAGTGAGCAGCTTGTGCCCAGGCAGCCAAGAAGGCCAACAGCATCCTGGTCTGTATCAGAAAGAGTGTAGCCAACAGGGCCAGGGCAGTGATTGTCCCCCTGTACTGGGCAATGGTGAGGCTGCACCTCTAATCCTGTGTTCAGTTTTGGGCCCTTCACTACAAGAGAGACACTGAGGTGCTGGAACAGGTCCAGAGAAGAGCAGCAGAGCTGCTGAAGGGCCTGGAGCACAAGTCTGATGGTGAGCGGCTGAGGGAACTGGAGGGGCTTAGTCTGGAGAAGAGAAGGCTTAGGGTTAGGGTTGCAGTGAGGTGAGGCTTGCAACTTCCGTTGCAATTACCTGAAAGGGGGTTGCAGTGAGGTGAGGGTCGATCCCTTTTCCCAAGGAACAAGCGATAGGACAGGAGGAAACAGCCTCAAGCTGTGCCAGGGGAGGTTCAGATTGGAGATTAGGAACAATTTATTCAGAGAGAGGGTGGTCAGGCTTTGGAACAGGCTGCCAGGGAATGGTGGAATCACCATCCCTGGAAGTATTCACAAACTGTGTAGACAAGGCCCTCAGTGGCATGGTTTAGTGGTGGCCTAGGCAGTGCTGGGGGAATGGTTTGGACTTTATGATCTTAAAGGTCTTTTCCAACTTGGTTGATTCTATGATAGTAGGATCTTTCCAAAGACAGGGGTGTGGGCCACACAGTCAGGGCAAGCGCTTCCCCGCTTGCTTTGCAGCTCCAATTACAGGGATCCTCTTCAGTTCCCATTACAACCCCTCTGTTCTCCAGACAGGAGACCAACTACTATGTTCTCAAAGACCGCTGCTGGCCCAGATGGTCTCCTTCTGCCCAATTGCTGTTCGTGGACAAGCTCACATGGATGGTTCCCTTTCATGATAGGTCACAGACAGGCTTTTACTCTACAGCATGTTAGAAGGCAGATTTAAGCCCTGCTATCCACAAGCTCAGCTGAGTATCATTACTGAAAAACACAGAACATAAAAGCAGGGAAAGATGCTTTTGGGAATAAGATGCCCCCCTTTCATTTGCTTGCTCTCAAGAGTATCTAATACAGGAGAGCAGTTTAAGTGGAGAGGGAAAAAGCCAGTTTGTTTCTCTCTAAGGGCCTCTGTCTAACTGAGAGCTTCTGAACTAGCACTCTCAACTGTGATGTCTCAGGTCCCACCACAGTTAAAATCATAGAATGGTTTGCGTTGGAAAGGACTTTTAAGATCATCCAGTTCCAACCCCCTGCCATGGGCAGGGCTCTTCCGACCAAAGACCCTGTGGCACACATCAGGAAAGCACAGGTCTCAACACATGAAAGTCAAGCAACACAGGCTGAAACATCTTACACGGACCACCAGCAAAGACCAGGAATGACGTAAAGACTGTGCTTTCTGAAAAAATGCAACAAGTGATGGGTTTAAAGGGGTGACTGAGGTGCTGCAAGAATCATTCTTGTTCACAGGGAACCACACTCGGGGTGTAGCTAAACCAGTGGGCTATTCTGTTATTATTTTAGGACAACAAGGGATCTACAATAACCCCAAACTCAAATCTTGCCTTTCCCCTGCTCCCAGCTGTGTGATAGACACTAAGGCAAAAACACTATGGGGAAGACTCAAGCACTGGTTTAGAGGGAGATCTCTTTTCTTTCAGGTAGTTTTAGAGAGCGATAAGATCCCTCCCTGAACCTTCTCTTGTCCAGACTAAACCTCCCCAATTCCCTCAGCCGCTCACCATCAGACTTGTGCTCCAGGCCCTTCAGCAGCTCTGCTGCTCTTCTCTGGACCTGTTCCAGCACCTCAGTGTCTCTCTTGTAGTGAAGGGCCCAGAACTGAACAAAGGATTAGAGGTGCAGCCTCACCATTGCCCAGTACAGGGGGACAATCACTGCCCTGGCCCTGTTGGCTACACTCTTTCTGATACAGACCAGGATGCTGTTGGCCTTCTTGGCTGCCTGGGCACAAGCTGCTCACTTTCAGCACCGTCAGTCAGCACCCCCAGGTCCTTTTCCATGAGCAGCTTTCCAGCCACACTTCCCCAAGCCTGGAGCATTGCATGGGGTTGTGGTGACCCAAGTGCAGGACCTGACACTTTGCCTTGTTGAACCTCATACCGTTGGCCACAGCCCATGAATCCAGCCTGTCCAGATCCCCCTGCGGACCCTCCTGCCCTCCAGCAAATCAATGCTCCCACCCAACTTGGTGTCCTCTGCAAACTGACTGAGGGTACACTTGATCCCCTCATCCTGATCATAGTAAAGATATTAAAGTGGATGAGTCAGGCGGAATGATAAGTCTGCTTCTGGCCCAGCCTGATACTCACTCCCTGGCTTGGGCTTACTCTCCCTGCTCTCTTTCCTGTGATGAGCACTAACCATAGCCAAGGTGTGGTGAGGCAGAGCTGTGGCGTGATGGCACAGCTCTGCCCAGAACCTGCCAGTAATCATTGTACTTCTCTACCCAGCGGGGAGTGGACAAGGTGAGGAGGAAGAGGAGGAGCATCTACTTAAGCAAAACAAAGGTGTGATCTGAGCTGACCGACATCACACATGACAGATTGCTCTGGGAGAGCCCAGATGCTCCAGGCTCCTGCACATGAGCTCTGGCAAGGCTCCGGCCTGGGCTCACTCAGTGTTTAACATGCATCTGGGCAGTACAGATTTTTCCCTGGTCTGCTGGTCCTTTGTGTCTCCTGCCTTCAGCATCGAGTTAGAAGGGGATCATTGGTCATTCCCTGTTAACTAGGTTAGCCCTGTGTTACAGGGCCCTTATTAGCTGTTCTTTTCATTTCCTCTCTCCTTTTCCTGTAATGCAGTTGTCACACAGGAACCTGTTCTGCCAGGTAACTGGTGCCAGCTATTGGCAACCCCAGCCATGGCCTCATGGCTAGTGCAGCCTTTCCTAGTTGGAAGTTGGGGCAAAAGTCAATTCTTGGAGTCCCCTTCCATTCTTGCTGTGACCCAGTTAAGATACCCGCTGACACATACTCATTTCACCCTTAGGCTGTCCATGAACTGCTCTGGCTCATCCCTGTTCATTCTCCAGAACTTGGACTCCCTGGAAGGCTCGGGCCAGAGGCTCGTATTGAGTTCTTATTACTAGAGTGCCAGTGGCCAAAAGGCTTCAGACCCTCTGCTCCACACCTCTGCTCCTCTACCTGACATCCACACGAGCTCAAGATGCATCTTTCAGGTCCACAGGCCCGTTGCTGCACTTGCAGAACTTTTAAATTGCAACAACTTGGCATTTATTTAGCTATTTGGCTCAGGCAAATCTAAGAGTAATAGTCCACTTTCCACCCTGTGCAGGATTTGTTTGGTTTTTATTTCTGTCTTACCTTTTAGCTGACTGTCTTGACTTGGCTTGGGCTTTCTTCACCTAACTTATTGCTCATCTTACTCCCAGCCCATAGCAGCCCTTCCAGATCCGGTGTTTTCCTCCCTGTTGCACATGATTGAGCAACTGAAAAGCCTGGGGCCACATACCAGCCTGACACCTCAACAGCTTGTGCTGGCTGGATGTAGATTGCCAGTCCAGCAGCCATACAGCCAGGTCCCGACGACACACCCCAAAGAACTTGTCTCAAAGAGTGAACCTCCCTCATTCTTTCCATGGTTTCTGCTGCACCATGGTGCAGCCCTTCCTCCCTTGCACCACAGTCACCCTGGGGAGACCCATTTGATACCAGAGCCATGTACATGTCCTCAGGGCCACCAGCCCACTGGGGCCACCAACTGTGCAGGTTTTCCGCCTGGGACTGTTCTGCTGGCAGCTGTTTGGAGGACTGAGCAACCACAGCTCCCATAAGCTCTAGTGATAGAATCACAGACTGGTTTGGGTTGGAAAGGACCTTAAGATCATCCAGTTCCAGCCCCCTGCCATGGGCAGGGACACCTCACACTAGACCATGTCACCCAAGGCTCTGTCCAACCTGGCCTTGAACACTGCTAGGGATGGAACATTTATCACTTCTTTGGGCAACCTGTGCCAGTGCCTCACCACCCCCACAGTAAAGAACTTCTTCCTTATATCTAACCTGAACTTCCCTTGTTTCAGTTTGAACCCATCACCCCTTGTCCTATCACTACAGTCCCTGATGAAAACTCCCTCTCCAGCATCCTTGTAGGCCCCCTTCAGACACTGGAAGGCTGCTATGAGGTCTCCACGCATCCTTCTCTTCTCCAGGCTGAACAGCCTGAACTTTCTCAGCCTATCTTTATATGGGAGGTGCTCCAGCCCCTGATCATCCTTGTAGCCCTCACATGGACTTGCTCCAACAGCTCCACGTCCTTCTCTGTTGAGGACACCAGCATCTCAACCCTTTGTGAGTCATGTGTCCCCCCAGGAGGTTTCCTCAGGGTGCCTGAACCTGTTCATCCACAGCTGGAGGAAGCTTCCGTGATGGTCTTTGGTTACATCACGGAGGCGGAGGATGTTTAGACAACTGGTCCAAGCCTGGGATTGCATGGTGCATCTGGCACCTCATCTTGGGGCTGCTCATGAGAAGGGCAGGTATGGAGCACAGGGAGGAGAGAGGCAGAGGAGACTCCATGGGCTGGAAAGACCTAGAAACCACACATTGTTCGTGAATCTAGGCTGGGCCCGCA